CATTATATTTACTTTTTTTTAGCTTTATTGGTAATGGAAACTTAGATTAGGTTTGTAATTGCTAGCATTACTGACGTGAACATTTGTTCCTTTGCCACTAGTTCCGATTCCGTTTGCAAATCAAAACAACAATTTTTGAAGTGAAAAGTGCAATTTTGTTGCGGCATTTACAATTAGTTATAACAATTAATTACGCATGTCTGCGTTAAGAAACCATGAGTATGATTGCACTGCCAAGTGCCGTCAGCGTCAGCATGGCAACTGCATTACTGCGGCGCTCACTAAACGCTCCATCGATGATCAAAAGTTGGCCACTTTCATTGCCAAAACTTGTGCAAACTTTTGCAATATTCCGGATTATTTGGGCCGCACCGCCGTACATATGTGTGCTTCCGTCGCCAGATATAGGATACTCGAATGGCTACTGAATCAGGGTGCACTTGTTAATGAGCGGGATTGGGAATCGGGCTTTACACCACTTCATAGAGCTTTATTTTACGGCTCTATCGATTGCGCCGTATTGTTGCTGCGTTACGGTGGCAGCTTGGAAGTGCTGGATGAGGATACACGTTGTCCACTGCAGGCCATATGCCGCAAATGTGACCAAGAGCAGCAGGTTGAGTCGCAGTGAGTAGCCAAAGCAGTTGCCTTTACCGCAAGCCCTAATCCGTAATCCTTTCCAGGAACGAGGCGCTCGTTTGGGGGTCTAATAGAAATTATAATCTGGGCATTGGCAATGAGCAGAATACGCTGACGCCACAATCCCTGGATTTCTTTCGCAAGTCGAATCTTTGGCTGGAGCAAGTGGCTCTGGGACCCTTTCACAGTCTCTTTCTGGATAAGCGTGGACATCTCTATGCAGTGGGTCATGGCAAGGGCGGCCGCTTGGGTATTGGTGTGGAGAACAGTCTGCCAGCTCCCAAACGTGTCAAAGTGCCGCTCAAGCACAACGAGGAGCGCATCGTAGGCATCAGTGTCTCGCGCCAACACTCGCTGCTCCTAACCAATCGCTCGTTGGTCTTCGCCTGCGGCTTGAATGACCAACAACAGCTGGGCGTCAGGGATGCCGGCGACTATTTAACCACATTCAAAGAGGTAGTTGCCCTGAGGGATAAGGGCGCGAGTCAGCTCCTGCGTGTCATCGCCTGCGATCAGCACTCGATTGCGTATAGCGCCAAAGCCGTCTATGTCTGGGGCGCCAATCAGGGGCAGTTTGGCATTAGCGCCAATACGAAAATCATTGCAGCTCCCACACTGGTAAGTGCACCCAAGAGACTTGCTCAACATAACTAAAGTATTCTCATTTACCTTTCAGTTAAAGCTAGCGGATCGCACCTGCATACGCTTCGTGGAGGCAAACAATGCCGCGACTGTTGTCTACACCGAGGAGAAGTTGATACTGCTCTTCTATGCGGACAAGCCTAGGACCATTAAGACTCCCAAGTAGGTTGCCTACTATACATAAAATGTTATATCTAAATCATCTTTAACTGCTTCTCCTTCACAGTTACGAGCATTTAAAGAGCATCTCTCTTATGGGCGGCCACATAAAGAACTCCACCAAGGGCTCTGCTGCTGCCCTGAAGCTGCTGATGCTAACCGAAACGAACGTTGTTTTTCTTTGGTATGAGAATACGCAACAGTTCTACAGGCAATTATATTATAACCCACTTCCACTCCGCAATCGCTAATCAAGTTGCCTTTTTCAGATGCGTCTTCTCGCCCGTTCGCATGCCACAAATCAAGCGCATCTTGTACAAATGCAATCAGGTGCTGCTGCTCTCCATGGATGGCTGCGTTTATCGTGGCAAATGCCATCAGCTAGTCTTGCCCGCCATCTCCCAAGAGAAATCGAGGCCCAATTTGGATATATGGCAAAACAACGATCAGCATCGCACAGAGATCTCCAGGGAACATTACATTCGCATCGATTTGCAGCGTGTGCCAAATGTGGATCGTGTTGTGGACATTGTGTGTGACGAGAGCTTCGTCTCGTTTGCTGTGCTGCAGGAATCGCATATGAAATACTTTCGAAAGCCCGCTTTGCCACGACGTGAGCACAGCTTCAAGAAGCTCTACCATGACACGAGCGAAGCGGATGCTGTGCATGATTTAGTCTTCCATGTGGATGGCGAGCGCTATGCGGCGCATAAGTTTATCATCTTTGGACGGGCTCCGGGCTTGAGAGAACTTATTCGCAATTATTTGGATAAGGATGTCTATTTAAATTTTGAGAATCTAACTGGCAAAATGTTTGAGCTGGTGCTGAAGCATATCTACACAAACTATTGGCCCACAGAGGAGGGTAAGCAGGCTTAGGAATACAGAGTGCAGGTCTTACTAACCCTTCTTCTCTTTTCAGATATTGACTGCATGCAGCAGAGCTTGGGTCCAAGCAAACCTGCTCAACGCAACCGTGTCTGTGAAATGTTTCATGCACATCTGGAAAAGTTCCAACTCCATGAGCTGGCCAAATATGTCAACAAGTGAGTGAGCATGGGTCACACCGCATAACTCCATTTATTCCCTGAATATTCTCCAGCTACCTCACCGAGCAGCAGTTCCCAATGCCACCTCGGCAACGTTTCCATCGTCTCCAGCGCTCTCAATATCCAGAGCTCTACGATGTGCGCATTGTCTGCGAGGATAATCAGCTCCTAGAAGCTCACAAATGCATCCTCGTGGCCCGTCTCGAATACTTCGAAATGATGTTCATGCACTCGTGGGCCGAGCGCACCACAGTTCACTTTGATGGCGTGCCCTTCGAGTATCTGGAGCCAGTGCTGGACTATCTCTACAGCCTCGATACGGAGGCATTTTGCAAGCAAAACTATACGGAGACGTTTCTATATAATATGATAACGCTGTGTGATCAGTACTTCATTGAATCGCTGCAGAATGTCTGTGAGTCCCTGATTCTGGACAAGATTAGCATTCGCAAGTGTGGCGAGATGCTCGAATTTGCCACAATGTACAATTGCAAGCTGCTGCAGCAGGGCTGCCTCGACTTCATCTGCCAGAATCTAGCGCGCGTGCTGTGCTATCGCAGCATCGAGCAGTGCGAACCGAATACGCTGCAGCGTCTCAATGATCACTATCGAAGGATGTTTCAGTCGGTCTTCGATTATAGACAGATCACGCCGTTTTCCGAAGCGATTGAGGATGAGCTGCTGCTCAGCTTTGTGGATGGCTGTGAAGTCGATCTGGATTATCGAATGGATGCGGTTCGTTTAGTACATTTTGTAATACTAAATTAAACCTTTAACTAAGCTAAACACTTTATATTCCTTAGGAGGCCAAGCTAAAGGAAGCAACGAAGCAAAAGCAAAAGGAGCTGCACAACAAGCAGGATGCACGTCACTATGAACAGCAGGCCATATCCAGCATGATGCGTTCGCTGAGTCTAAGTAAAACAGCTACACCAGCACAAGCAACAACCACAACAACCTCCCCCGAGTCAGCGCCAAATGAGACTAAAAATTGGTCACGCGTGGTGGACAAAAAGGAGCAAAAGCGCAAGCAGGCCGAGACAGCGGTCAAGGTCAACAACGTGCTCAAGCAGGAGGTGCAGCCTACGCCGGAGCTTGTGCCCATATCGCCACGTGCCACGTCTACAAAGGAAGCAACGCCCCCACCGCAGTCCGCTAACAGTTCGGCCGAGTGCAGCACGCCCTTGAGCAAGAGCTACAACCTGGACTTAAGTTCCTTAATGCCACAATCGGCTAAGCTGTCGCAGAAGCAACGCAAACGTCTCTGCTCCGAGTCGCAGAGCTGGCGGGCACCAGTGGAGTTGAATAGCTCCACGCCCGTGGCTGTGCCCAATGCTTGGGGCGTCACGGCCAGCTCACCGAATTCATCATATGCCGAGCCCTTCAGCTCTCCAGCAGCTGCTCCCACGGGCAGCAGTGCAGATCCCACGTCCTTTGCCAATATGATGCGTGGCGGACAGGTAGCTAGTCCGCCAGAGGCCGGCAACAGCTTCTCACAGATCCTAGCCGATGAGCGTCGTCAGCGCGACAGCTACGAGCGCATGCGCAACAAATCGCTCGTGCACACCCAGATCGAGGAGACGGCCATTGCGGAGTTGCGCGAATTCTACAATGTGGACAACATAGACGATGAGACAATCACCATCGAGCGCAAGTCGAGGCCCAGCAATATTAATTTTACCACCTGGCTGAAGCATTGAATAGTTGCTAGTACATTTATTTAGTTGTGAGTGCGTGTGTGTGTGTGGAAGTGTTTGTGTGTGTGTGTCTTAGATGAAATTAAGATCTAGCCAGTTGCCTAGAAATTCGTCTCAGATGTAGAACTCGGAGCCACCTGCAAAGGTGCATTAAGACTACTTCAGCAATGCAGATTAAGAGAGAGACTAAGTCTAAGGAGTGGACAACACATCAGCGTAGAGTGCAGTACAGTACAGTGAACGCTCGGCATGTTAAACTGCCCGAAAGATATACGAATTTTTCGTACGAATTATAATTCTATTTAGGAATAAATTTTTTGTGAATATCTAGGTCTGACTATATCCTTTTAAAGGGTATTCAACAATATTATTTGACTAATAAATGTTAAGCACTCTTAATGTATATATCTTGAGATATATATGTATATTCTAGATCTATATGGATTGACAAAGTTTTTATTTTATTATTACCCCATCTATCATTAATTAAAATTTGTAATTTATGCCATATATCATATCTGTCATGGCAAGTCATGATCGAATTTTGAATTATTGTACAAATTTGAATCCAAAAGATTCATGTTCGATTTTTGAAATGAAAAGTTTTGTAAAATATTTTTCTAAAATGAATTTTTTTTTTAGAAATATTTGTAAAGCCTTACCAAATGGGCCAACAATATAGCTATAAATTAACATTATTTAGTTCACCTTAGCGAGCGATCACTGTACTTTCAATTTTGATAATCAGTCTTAACATATCCCGAAAGACAACACAACAACAGCTATATGGCCTAGCCATAACCAACATATAGAGTAACAAATTGTTTATTATAATGCAATTACGTATATAGATAGATATATGTATATAAAGATATATTTACAGGCTGGGACACACGCATAGCGAATGAGGCAACAAAACACATGGACGAATAAATAGAAAAAATAGTAAACAAACCCAAAACCTAATTGAGATGAACATGAGTTGAGTATTGAGAAAGGTTGGGAGGTGGATGGGGAGGGTGCAGGGGAATAGATGAAAGTGGAAAGTGGAGATGCGATTGAGGAAAGGGACAAGGGTAGGAATAGGCATAGGGATTGGGAATGGGATAGGAAATGGAATGGGGAATGGGGATGAGCATTGCTGGCGAACTCAAAAGCACTCCTTACGAAAGGCGAATCCGTATTGATCACACTTGACGCGCAGCGTCTTGGCCAGCTGTGGCGGACCGCAATAGAAGACGGTGACCTTGCCCTTCTGCTGTGCCTGCAGCTGCTTGAAGACCTTGTCCCAATTGGGTCTGCCAGCATTGGTGCGGGTTTTGAGGCCCGTTATCAGGTCCCGTTTGCCCTGCAGTGAAAGAGTGGAAATGATACTGGATAACTCTAGAGGCTGAAGACAACTCCCTTACCTTCTCGTGCAACAGGTCGAGCGCCAGCTGCAGTCCCACCGCCTTCATATCTGTGCGCTGCAGTGCGCTGGTTATGTACATGTGCATGTCCAGAAAGCTAGCAGGGGAAGATCCTCCATTAATATATACTCTGACTGGTTTCACTGCATCCTTACCGCTCCATGGCGCCGCCCAGCTCTGCCTGCTCTATCTCCAGCTGTGAGAGCAGATTGACGAACCACTCGAACGAGCGCTGGTCCCGATTGATCCAGAAGAAGTCCACCTTGCGCAGATTCATCACAGACTTGGGTATCTCGCTGGCCCACTCAAAGTGGCATCTCGGGCAGCTGTGCCGCGCCTTCCAGTAGCGGTGCATGATGGACTGCAGGATGGAGGCGAAGGGCGTTACCCCGATGCCAGTGCCGATGAGCACCGCATGCTGAGCGCCAAAGATGTGGCTCGAAGGGGCGCCGTAAGGGCCATCTATGAAGATCTGGAACGGAGAGGGAATTAGCCAGGGATTGGGGTTAGTCTAGCGCGTGTGTGTGTWGGTGTGTGTGTGTGTGACTCGCACCTCCATGACGCCTGCATCGAGTGTGACCTTGCTACCGCTGTTAGTTGTGGTGCTGCCGCCGCCGCCACCTCCTCCTCCGCCTCCGCCTCCTCCCCGATTAGTTATGGAGGTGGACAGCGTGCGCAGAAATGTGGGACGACGCAGGCGCGACTTTCGATTGCCCGTGTTTGTGTTATCCTTGGAGAGCAAGCAACATAAGGTAGGTTAGTCTTAAGTATTACGGATTAGTCGGTCAACTCCTGCCCACCTCGAGCGGCTTCTGCTCTGCGCCCAGGCTGAGCCGCATCAGCTGCTCCGTGCCACTGTCCGCCCCGGCTGCATGACCCAGCTCCACGGAGTTGGCCTCCATGGTGCCATTGCTGTCGGCAGCTCCGGCTGCCTGCTGTGCCTCGCTCAGCTCCAGGCTGGGCGTCTTGAAGGCTATGATGGTGGGCTTGTTGCGCATGTAGCGGAAACTCTGCGCCAGCGACTTGTTCTGCGGACTCAAATAGGCCAGCCCCACGCTATTGTTCCGAGCGCGTCTCAGACGCTGGTCATCAAAGGCGCGCTCCGACTCGGAGCGACCCAAGGCGCGCAGTCTGCAAAGGATTGGCATTAGAGGGGAAAGGGTTACAGTGGGGAGAGGGAGCTTTATGTCTAGACAAACAACGGGTGTTCGGTAGAGGCAACAACTCAGATAGCTCTAGACACCTCCAAGCGATCTCTGCCCAGGCAAGGACTCCTAATGCCTCAGGGAGTTCTATTGGCTACCTAGGCTCATACATGGAGAGCGGGAGAGGGAGACCTTCTCTCTTATACTTACGCCTTAAGCCGACTGCGCTTCTTGCTCTTCATGCTAATGTCCGGCAGCGAGATGCTCTTCTCCAGGGGCCGCTGCTTGCGCCTGGATTGCTCGCGCTCCGTCTCAGCCGTGAAGGCGCCGTTGGCTATGCCCGAGTTCTTCGGCTCCGACTCCTTGCGTGAGAAGGTGCGCTGCAGGGATTTCTTAATGCTCCTTATGCGATTCACGCCCGTTGTGGTGGATGGAGCCTCCAGCGGTGCGGCGGCTGACTTGCGGTGCTGCCTGGGCGGACGCGCCGGCGGCAGCTGCTCATCCGGAGTGCCGCCTCTGCTGGCCATGTTGCGTGCCAGGAAGTCCGTCTGCGGTGTCGTCGTGCTGGACTGCCGCGACATCTCGGCGAGCGCCGGATTGCGCGCCTCGTTGAGCATCATGAAACTGGGCGTGGGTATCGCATGCATGTGAGTGTTCACTTCGCCCTTGTGCAGCTTCTGCTGCTCCCTTTCGAAGTAGCGATAGAGGCGATTCGTCCACTCGCCCACGGTGCGTATGTGGAGCCACATGTAGTCCTCCTGCTCCGGGGCCGAGCTGATCGTGAACGGATGCCACTCATAGTTCGCAATGGCGGGTATGTTGACAAAGACGTAGTCGCCGGGTCGGAAGTTGAAGTTGAAGGGTCGCTTGATGACCAAGTGAATCACCTTCGAGGGGAGCAGCAGGCCGGAGCTAATGTAGGTCTTGCCATGCTCTCCGCGCATCCAGACGAAGCGCAGCACGCGCTCCACAATGTACACCAGGCCGGGCAGCATGAACCACTTCCAGAAGTTGGGCCCGTGAAAGAGCGTGAGTATCCAGAAGGGCACATAGAGCAGATGCGTCCAGTAGAACACCTCAAAGCTGCCCTTGCGCCGCACGAAAGGCTGCGAGCAGACGAACATGACAATCAGTATCACCAGCAGAGCAACTCCAGTGGGATTGGCGCAGCCCGGAATGAGGCCAAACAGGCCGGGACGATCCGTCAACAGCCATTCGCCTATCGTGTAGTGTCCGGCGTTTATCTGGGGGTCATTGATCACAATGATGGAGAAGTTGAACAGATGCATTATCGTGTGCACCAGACTCAGCACCGCGATCGTAATGCCCGTCAGCTTGTGCAGGTAGACATGATGGTCCAGTGGCAGGAAGGAGGACAGGCCACGCGAACGGAGGTAGGTCAGGGAGTGCCGCAGCATCAGCACCAAGACCCAGGCGCAGTTGAAGTTGAGGCATTGACCTAGGCAAGGACGAAAGCTGGATTAAGGCGAATGGATAACTGAGCCAGGGTAGAGTCCCTCTCTGCTCTGTTTACAGAGGAAGGACTCAAAAGGACTCTAGCTGTGCTTACCACACGCTCTGGCTATGATCACAAAGCCATTGCTGGCGCGATACTGTATGGCACGGGAGATGAACAGGCAGAGATTGACGGCGATGTAGAAGAACAGGTAGCTGACAAACACCTGGTTGTTCTTCATGTAGGCCAGCGTCAGCTGGTGAGGTATTGTGTGCCAGAGCCTCGACCTTTTGCTGCTAGACGGCGGCTCCTCCGCAATGGGCACCAGCCAGCGATCAATGCTGCAAGGTAAAGTAGATATTAAATAGATGGTAATACTAATTATAGAGCAAAGTCTCTATCTACGTAATGCTGAGATTCTCGAGCAGGCCGCCGTGTTTGTGCAGTTGGTTCTTAAGCGCCTCGTAGGTGATCTCGCCGCTGTTGTGTGGATCGGCATCCTCGAACATGGCGCTGGTTAGGTCCTCGATTTGATCCTCGGAGAACTCCATGCCGTTCTCCTTGATGCAATGCCGTATCACGTCGTGCAGCTCCTTGTGCTGTATGAGACCATCGCCTGGAAAATGTCATGGAAATTAGTTCTGGATCATCTGCAGCTACCCAATGCACACACCATCTATGTCGTAGACCTTGAAGAGAAACCTTATCTTATCGTCAGCCGATTGTCCTGAGAACTGATGTATGGCATCTATGAACTCCTGCAGCGATATGGACCCAGAGTTATCCTTGTCGAATATTTGGAACACGCGCTCCGTAAAGAAGGGCTGCAATGGACATTAGTTAGTCTGCATTTGCTTGACAGTTGACTGGAATAGTTGTCTTACATTCTTGGAGGTAACAATCTTTTGGAACTCCTCGCGTCGTATCTCCTGCTCATTGCCCACAGTGTTGCGAAAGAGCTGCTCCAAGCGCGCCAGGGAGCTCTTGTCGAAGCCTGTGCGGGGTCTAAATAGTCAAGATATGGTATATTATGTTACTTGCTTAAAACGACCTAGTAGAGTTCTTTCATTTATTATAACCTTACCTGGAGTTTGTTAGATGTGATATAAACTCCATGACCTGGTTCGTGGAGATGAGATTGGTGCCATCGATGTCAATCAGGCGGTATAGCTTATCCAATATCTGCAAGTAACTCGAGTAGGTAAGGATCTTTTTTATGTGGAGTGTGAGGAATACTTACACCTCTCGTATGCCAGATATCGCGAAAGTTCTTAAAGTTCACTTGGCTCTTCTCGCCGCAGATGACGTAGGCCACCGACTCGATTTGCTCCGCAAAGTCCATTTGACGATCATCGCTGTAAGGTAAAAAATTATGTAAATAGTTAAAGTTTGCTAGGAAAAAGCCAGCTCAGTCCTTCTACCCGCATTTCCCCTCTTCTTCGAAGTCTAGAAGGTCGTATGGGAAATAAGATCTTGTACTTTCCCTAGAGGTAAAGCTTAAGTTTAAGCTTCTATTCCAGCAATTTCTGTTCATCTATCCCTTTCATGTATAACACCTTTAATATAAGCTTCCTGCCTTTCGCCTCGACATGCTTCTGAGCAACCAGGCTGCTAGCCTTCCAGCTTTCCAACTTCCTTCTTTAGTTCCTCCCTCGACGTGGCTGCACAGTCCTACAGTCAAACAAGGCCAGGTCTGCCAGTTATAGCTGCAGCTGCAGCTACGAGCCTTCCAGCTTTCCAGCCTGCTGCCTGCCTGCCTGCCTGCTCTATCGCCTCCCTCGACACGCTATATTTGTATTTTGAATGACTTCATTACGACAGGCGGGCCAGTGACAGTCGGAGCTGCCAGAGCTGCCGTGGATCGGGTGGGTCAGGGGCTGGCTGGGGCAGCGGGCATGCGGACTATGTTAGCTGTTGTATATGTTAACATACAACACAGATAGCATCACCATCGGCGATGGCATCGCCGCGGCAGTTGGCGTGCAAAGTGCAGCGCAGCTGGAATGCCAGCACAAACGAAGCTGGGAATGGAGATGGCGATGGCGATGGCGATGGGGACGGTGCTGTAGAAGCTGGAGCAGGGCAGCTGGGTTCGGCTCGGGCTCGGGCTGGGTCTGGCTAAGGCTA